CCCTCTCATTTCATACAATAATAATTTCAAGAAGCTAGCTAAGTACGAGGATTACTGGGTATTGTTCATCTCAATCTTAAGGATATATTGTCCTTAAGAAGTTGCCAGAAGGCATCAAAACTGATGAGCTTTTATATGAAATTTGAACTTAGAGTGTGTTTGTAATGGATGTTTAGGAGCCATTCAGTGTGTGACTGTTGAAAAGGGAACAGTGTTGAAATTTGAATTCATAGCCCTTAAGGTTTGTATTCTAAGAATTGTTCAAGTTATCTTTTTCTAATTTGAGCAAAAATGTTTTATAACTTTCCATGCAAGAAAAAAATTCTTAAATTTCAGTGAATTCTTAGCTTGTAATTTATTTGGATAACTATCGATATTTCTATACATAAAAAGTCACATTATAGGGATTTTATTAGTCTTATTTTCCCCTTTGAGGCATTTAAAATGCCTGAAACCAAGGAACTTTCCTGGATAATAGAAATCTAAGATTCTTTGCATTATTTGGCTAATATCTTCCCTCTCTCTCAAGGACGTGCAAACACCTATTCTTTCTACATAATCCCTACATCTTTCCTAGTATTACAAAACAAAATTCCAATATCCTTATACCCATCAGTAATGTATTCTAAGTTGTTTTTAGATTGTAAATTTTTATTCTTTTAATTCTGTGAGAAAAGCATTTTCTTTAAATTGATAGTGTCATACTTAAATATATGATTCCAAATTGGTGATACATATACTATACTAGTTATGTATAGTCACTCCTGCTGTGATCTTATTTCCCTACAAATATTATCACATCATAGAAATAACAGTAACAATCTACTCCCTGGTTATATGTGTGTTATAAGAAATTTGGGAGATAACATCCTCGTTGTTGAACATAAAAGACTTTTCATATTAGCTTTAATTCTTCTAAATAATGTCAGTTTTAAGTTAATAATTTTACCAAGATTAGTCAATGTTTATTATCCCAGAATAATGCCATTTTACAGTATAGAATCATTGTTCAAATGATTCTAGCTAAATGTTTTGTAATTTCATGTAAGCTAAATGTAGTATTTTTACGAATATTATCAGATAACCTTAAGAGTACTAATCTAAACTTCAACTCTTTTCTCCATATTTATTCTTTGCTGTGCTTCAATGTGTAAGCTTATCACTATTTGAAAATTTAATTGCCATAATTACCTTTTAAAAGCTAGAATGCTATTGACCTGCCTTTGAAAATTATTAAGTTTTACATCGGAGAAAAAGAAAAGCACCTCTCACCTTTGGGAAAGGACCTGATCTATATGTAGGCCTTGGTGTGGGAAGCTAGCCCCAAGCTCACAGCTTAGCCATGGTGTTCTCTGTGAAATATAAACAGCTCCACACAACACCAACTTCACACAATGATATGAAACAAAAAACAGTTCAATTTTATCTAAGCGCAGACAAAGGCTGGGTCACTGTACATACCACAAAAATACCAAACATCTCCCTCTCCTGGTTAATATGAGTAACTGCTACTTTCCAATGACAATTTTAGCCTACTTCCCTTCCTCTCTAGAGTAAGGTATTTTAAGATACCTAGTCACAGAATTATTCCTGCAGGCCCATTGGAAAGCAAAGCTCTGCCTCTTTGAAGCCTTCCCAATCACTTAACCAAAATCCAGATGCTATCAGTACAAGGAGTCCTTTAACACTATTGTTCCCAGGGGTGGGTGTCTCCCTAATTGCAAGAGTAATAAGCCTAAACCCAGCTGTGTTCCTGGTGGTCTTTGCAAAATAGAGCCCAGCATTTTTGAAAGGTCGACATTTTTATAAAATAAAAACATAAAAATATTTTTTAAACTGTAAAATTTATTAAAATGGCAATGTATTGAGATTTCTAGGCTTAGAATTTTGATTTTTAGCAGTATATTGAATCCCACAAGTATTTAACATTGTACTTTTAAAATATTAGTATTGAGTAGTTCCCTTTTCAAATCTGAAATGTGTGCTTTCTACTGTGATTGTACGATGAGATTTGCCATCTCAACTGATTACAGATTTCATGGCCCTAAAGACAAGTTAGTTCTTTTCAAGATTCTTTTCACTGTACTTGAGTAATGTTTGCACTGTTTTAAGTTAACATATGACAAGTAGTAGCCTAACCTTTTAAACATAATAACAGATGGATATTTTTAAATATTATACTGCCAATTGTAAAAAGTAAATAATATTTTAATCACTTTAAATGGCTTAAATTATTATATGCATTACTATCACAGAAAATGTTTTTCCCACCCATTTAACAGTCATTTAATATCATTATTTTTATTTATGCCTAAGACATTAGGTGTTCTTTTATTGAAGTCGTGACTGGACTCAATATATTTACAGTCAATTCCTGGCTCACTATACCAAGCACAGTTTAGGAGGTTAAATTTGTACTCACTTAAATTATCCTGTAGAACAGAACCTGCTAGATCACCATCTCAATGACATTCAGAGATGCTACTCTTTTAAAACTATATTTGAAAAGAGGTTTGAGGTTTTCAAATAAAAAGGTACCATATGGAAGATCTGGTTTGTGATTGTGCCTTATGTAAACATTTTAATATTGGATCCCTAAAATCCAGAGGCTCCCCCAAAGGGGATTAGAGCATAATCCCCTTTCTCTGTTGCAGTAGTGGATTAACTCCATATTCTCTCTCTGGCTGGTTTGCTCCCTGAAGGCTACAACAAAAAGATTTTAGTGTTCCTTAAACATGCTCTGGAATGGGGAATTGTAATTGGACATTTCCAAAGAACGGAGGGAAAATGACACACTATTAAGACTGAATATTTCATGATGTGTCTTTCTTAAAGACTATTTTGAAGTCCTTTTATGCACTCCCAGAAAATCTCAATCGGTACAATAAATTGGAGTTGAATGAAAAGGAAATGCACTCCTCTTTCCCAGACGAGAAATAAGTAGAGAAAATGTGTTCCCTGTTAAAAGTTCATGGACAGTGTATTTGTAATTCTCAATATATTTCAATAAGCCAATGAGTATGGTTTCGATAATTCATTTCATTATTTAAAAAAAAAATTCCCAGTTCAATTGTTTGGGTATGTTCAGTTACTTTTAAAAGGAAAAAAGTGGATTGCCAGTTTAATGCTTTTGGCCATTTTTTAGCTCCAAATGCTAGAAAGCTCTGCTGAAATAAATCACTAGTTTCTGAATTTAGTATGAAGAGTTTTATGAAGTTTCAGCAAGGCCCAAGAATGTATAAGATGATACTTTTGTTTCTGATGTAAATTGCATCACCTCCTTTCTCACCTTGTCCCAGTCAAGAAGAAAACTGCCTGGGTTTCTGCTAAGAGGAAGTAGGATCAGGGTAGTGGCGCCTACAGGAGCGCCGCGGTCACGCAGGGGTTAAGGCAGCGGTTCGCCGCGCCGAGCGAGCGCAGGGGGATTCCGCGGAGGGCGCGCACTGAAACTCCAATAAACACAAAGAAGGGCCTGGGGAATAGAAACCCAAATCCACTTGTAATCGTACAAGAGATTCGGGCATAATTACTTGAGCAACCTAGATTAAGATTGATGAGCCTTTAAAGTGGCGCTTCAGATCGACCGCCTCGCCCTTCGGAAAGAAAAACCTTGGAGATCCGAAGTGGACCCCGGCTCCGCTGGGCTGCGCGGTGGAAACCGCCCGCCGCGACCGAGACCGGGGTCTCTGGGGCGCAGCGGGAAGGAAAGGAGTGAAATGAAGGAGAGGGTCTTCCGGTAGTCCGCTCAGGCACGCAGGACCGAGGGCTGTCCACTGACACTGACACAGTTTCCTAGCCGCCCGCCCTTTACGCCGGAGAGAAGCCGGCCGAGGCCGCCCTAAGACCAGCCGCAGAAGGGCCAGGCTTTGTGCAGCACGGTCACGGCGTGGCTGTGTGCGGCCCCCAGAGAGCGCGAGCCTCGCCACGGCCTGCGTCTCCCGGCCCGCTGAGCCAGGGCCTGCGTGGCCGTGGGGGGTCTGGCTTCGTGTTGCCTTCATCTTACTGTTATTGTGACTCTTTGACCATATGCATTTGAGGAGAGCAATGGCAGGAATTCTGATACGCCCTCGGACAAAAAAAAAAAAATGCGTTATTTTTGATTTCGTGTGGTGTGTTAAAACCACGATCACCAAGGTTGACTCCCCTTTGTGGGGCGGGGGTTTTGAGGAGAGTATTTAAGTAGTGGCCCTTTGAACCAACGTTCTAAAATGTGAAATTCAAATTGAGGGAATTTGAAGGAAGTGCCCTAGCAGGCAAACTATCTAAACCCCATTCCTGAAGCTTAGTTTCCTTTAGTTTCAAGTTGGGAAACAACATTTGGGGACCTTTTCCTGAGACCATTTTGTTTGTGTCTCACATTTACATCGCTTTTGACGATTCTGTTAGTAAGTGACTGCTAAGATTTTCGTTCATTTCTACAGAAGAACTTCAGTGTCCGTGTCTACGCAAATACGCATACACGCCTGAGAACGTTGATATTAAAATAATCTTCCGGCAAGTTGCTAACCCTCTAGAAGCCTGGGATGTATATTCTCAGGACAGTACCAGTCACCTCTTCTCTCATTTCCTTGCGGAGCGCCTCTGTAGGTGCAGTGGCTTTACTAGATGGTCGGTCTTTGGAGACTGTACCGACTGCCTTGGGTCTCTTGGAAAGCCAGTGATGCTCAAGGGTGATCCGACCTTACAGAATCCGTTCTGTACTTTTAAGTTGATAATTGAAGCAGTTCTCCAACCATGGTAAAATTTCTAGGCAGAGATAGAAAACTCACAAGTTCCATACCCTGATCCCATAGTGTTGTATAGAATTGTATATCTCTCATCTCGTTCTGAAGTACTAGATAAGAACTAGGCAGCCCTTAACTAAATGAAACACCTTGCCAGATAACATAGGCACCTTTTTTTTCTAGCATATCCTTAAAAATAAATTCTCACAAGGTGGTACCTTGTGAGAGGGAGAGGGAAAAAGATGGTCAGCCTGACTCTGTGCCTTTGGCTTGCAGGCCCAGTGGTACTCAGTACCCCAGCCCAACTCATTGCTCCTGTGGTAGTGGCCAAGGGGACTCTCTCCATCACCACGACAGAAATCTACTTTGAGGTAGATGAGGATGATCCTGCCTTCAAGAAGATCGACACAAAAGTGAGTTAAAGTGGTTCCTTGGTGTACAGTATTGGTAGCTTTGTGACAGGAAGTGATTTTCAATTTGCTTCGTTCTAAATGACAGTGGGGGAGGGGAGTAATTTTTTTCTCATAGAAAATAAAATGAATAAAATAATATGTGCTCTTTTTTATGGAACTGAATATATGAATGATTTTAAATCCTGCGTTGCCTGAGCATTCACACTTTAATTCCTTTCTCAATTTGAGTGCCTTTGTGTGCATTTGGTCAGATTTGGTAGTTGAGCCAATTGTCCTAAGTCGCTGTGGTGCAGCATCTCAGTCTCTCTGGGAAGAATAAAAATGGTCTTACGATATTTTTTATTAAGATTGTTTTGAATTTTCAAAAGTACAGTTTGCAATGTGAATTATTTACTGAACTGCTATGAGGAAACTGGGATGAGAGTATTTAGGTTCAGTTTCACCTCCATTATTACATCCATTTTTCATTTCCTGAACTAAGAAACTGATTTTCTAAAAGCTTTGATTTTAAATGTATATACATAGCATATACTAACACTCAGTTGTTTAAAGGTTGACTTTGTCTGTGGATTGTCATGCCAAAAAATACATATTTGGACCATATGAAATGCACAAATATTTATTTAATATTATCTTACAGATCTTAATCATCCCACCACTAGAGCAGTTCTGCACCTCAACATTGCCTTCCAAGATCCACTTTAATGTTCTAACTTTAATGTTATTGTGGAATCTGTAAACTTTTCTCCTGAAGTTAAGAATTCAAGATCATTAGATATCAGATATTGTAGTATCATTTTGCAAAGATCTTCCTTTAACATGTTTTCAGACTTAGACATTCAAAAACTGTCAAATATGCCCACAGACCCAGAATTTTATTGTATGTATTTAATTTATATAAACAAAGCATTATAGAAGAGTAATGAAGAGTTGAAAGTTACCTCCACCTGAATTAACTGAAGGCCCTTCAATGACCAGTCCTTTCAGCACTTGTTGACTATTAAAATACTCCAAAACACTTCTTTCACTTCTAGCTCCAAAAGGAATGATTTTTTAAAAATGGGCTTGAAGTGCTTAATTTTAAATAATCAAAAGCCTATCTGTAGGTTGTATCATGAGTTTATCCTATGGAAAAAGAAATTTTGGTTTTCTGACTAATTTATTCTGCTACTTATTGCCTAAAATAGCATTTGGTATAAAATATATTGGTCAGAAATAATCTTCATTTATTAGCTTAATTTTTATATACACATCAAAAATCTTATTATAATTTTAAGCTCATTTTCTTTGAGTTAGACAGATTTCTAACATTTTTTACCATAATGATAGAATTTTCCTGTTATCAAAAATGCTACATTAATATTAACCAGAAGAGCAAACACTCATAGGTAGATTTAAACTGTGTGGGTTGCAAAAAGGAAGTCTTACAAGTAAGAAACTGAGAAGAGATGACTTATCTTCTGTAGTTGTATAAAAAGAGCTTTGAGATATTTTAAGATTTATTTTTGTTTCATTAGCATATTTTTCATAATATTTAACACATTTAAGTGCAGTTCATTTTCAAAGGAAAGAATTCTATCTTTTGATAGAAAAACAATTTAAATTCAGACACAACTTGTATTTTACTTCATTTATTAGCATCTAATTAAATAAAAACCAGCAACAGAAATTAAAATCTAAATCACAAAAGTAATTATCCAGTGTATTTCAAGTGCATTTTTCAAATATATAATTCAGATATTCAAGCGTTATTATATAAGCTGAATTCAAATTTCTTTGAATATATTTTAAATAACATTTCAAGTATATTTATGGAATGTTAGAAATAGAACAAGCAATATATTTGAAACAAAATGTAAACTTTTTAAAGTTCAGACACTTTCAAAGACAGAGAAAAGTACCAGGAGTAAATCTACCTTTAAGTGGTATCTTTGTTAGTGGAAAATGTCTGGAAGTATCCAAAATGGCAATTTAAGTTCTGTTCACCAAATCACAAAACACCAACATCCACACTTTTAAAGACAATGTGAGATCACAATATTTGTTACACATCAAAATATACATTACACTTTCCTTCAGATGACATATCCAAATCTTGTTTACTCACAGGCAGATGCACCTAAATCACCAGGATTGCTATAATCCTCTGGTAGGCAGAATGTTCCCGAGGGCTTGCATTACCATTTTGTCGGGGCTGTGTTCCGGGTGTTGCCGTGTATTTTGCACTAATACCTTGCAGGTTTGGGTTTGTCTCTATCACTCTCCATTTTTCTATTTGTTCCCCTTGCAGGGGAAGGTGAGATGATGTCTAAACATTATATTACTCCTTTTAAAGGAAGAGATCATTTGCACTGTCAAATGAGATATTAGGAATCAAGCTGTAAGTTTTCATTTATTTAGGACTTGGAGAAGAGAAATCATTTCGGCTCTTAGCTAGATCATCCTCTTAGAGTTTTTCCAAACTTTTAGGGTTGGTCAGGATCTCTCTTGCCAGTCGCCACGTCTGTTTGGCAGCGTTTTCCAGAGCTGAGTGAGGTTTGCCTTGAAACAGATCTAAGTTCGGTAGGAAGTAGTGGGGACACCGCCGGCACTGCAGGCAGGAGATGAGTTGCAGCAAAATCCCATTCAGCCGATCACCCAGGCAAGACTCGTCCCAGTCCGACTCCCGAGGGTGCTTTTCACACTCGTAGGAAACCAAAGTCTTCATGTGGTAATTGTTGAGGGGCTGCCCCGGCAGCTCCAGGTGTCGATCCCGCAAGGTTTTGAGAATGGAGAGGCATTTCTTTCTGCAGCCTCCCATCTGCAGTCTGTTCTCTGCTTCCGCGAACTGCAGCACCCAGGCGTCGCTCTCAGCCGAGCTCTGCTTGCCGGCCAGGGAGTGGCACTCCTTGGACAAGAGGTTGAACCCTTCTGCTTTGACCTCTGCCACTCGGTTGGGTCCTGGCCAGGGGATGTGGGGAAGTGGCCAGTGGGCAGCACTCCTTGGCCAGATCCCGGTGCATTTAAAAGCCGGAGTGATCTGCACCACGTACCTGTCTCGGATTCTCAGTTTCACTTCGCTGGTGTCAGCCACCATCTTTACCACATCCCTGTAGCTACATTTATCCACCGCTTGAGCCACCAGCGTCTGAAACCTGGACCGGATTTTGCGCGCCGAGAGGTAGCCAGAGGCGGTAATGAATTCCACCCAGAGAGACATGCTCCTCTTGCGCCCGTCGCTCAACTTCAGCACCGCGCAGCCGGGCAGCGAGCCGTCGTCCACGAAGTTGAACACCCCCATTTGGTTAAGATAAAGCACCACTTCAAACTCGGTGGGGGAGATGACCTCGAGACCCTCGTAGCGATTGTCCATCTCGTTGAGAGAGCTGATGAACCGGGGCTCCTGCACTTCTACCTCCTTGAGTACATCGGAAACTACTTTGCAGACTTCCCGGATAGTTTTGGCAATGGCAGCTTTCCTGGCTTGGCATTTCTCATTGTAGTACTTATTCAGATGGTAGACCAACTTGGCCTGGGCCGCGATCATGTTGGGGCAGAGATCCGGATTGTACACCGGAGTCTCGCAGTAAGCTGTGGGATCCAATGCGGCTGCTAGAGCTGGAGCCAACTTCGGTGGAGAAACGGGCCGCAGCGCTCAGAAATGTATCAAAAGTGTCTCTCCGAAGTACTGCAGCAGTGACTTCTCCGCTGCCGCCGCTTTCCCCTTCCTTTTATCTTTGAGCCCAGGCGGTCATAAAGTGAAAGATTTTCCTCCCCCCTCTCCTCTTCCTCTTTTAAAGAATCCTTGTGTGAAAGAAACGCATGGAGAAATCACCTTCTCAGTAATAAAAACAAAAGTTGTGCTGAGACTCAGCAAAGCTCTTCCAGTAGTCAAAATAATCACCCCTTTCCGTATTTATTTACGCTTTCCTGCAGTCATTGTGTGTGCAGGACTGTTAATCAGATGGAAGAAAAGTGTGGTGTGTGTGCATCGGGGTGAGTGTGCATGTGTATATGTCAGAAGAAGCTGGTGTTGGTTTGTCTAAGAGCCCAGAATCACTCGTGTGGAAATTATAAAGGCAGGGCCAGGCAGGCAGGCGGCCAATCGCCACTGGGCTCGTCACGACAGCCGCCTTCAGCTCCAGCCCGGCTAATTAATCCCCCCTTATGGATATAGGCACACAAACGAAAGGTAGAAGGCTGCTGCCGCAGACAACCACTCGGGCCACCTAGGCAGTTTGGAAATGAAGAGGAATCTCTCAGCTTTGGTATTACTTGAAGCATATTGACATTTTGAAAAGACTTGGCAAAGTGGCCCTCTTGCTAAAAACCCTCCTTGTCTTTTTTACCACTAAAATGCAAATACAGGTGTATTAGTGGTCATCCATCAATTAGTGAACTAGATGGAACTTTCTAAAACAAATTCACTAACTTGCATTTGAGTAAGATAATTAATACCCTTAATCCTTGGGGTCTTTTTAAAAATCAGATTAAAAGTTCTCCCTTTAATGCAGAAACTACCTGCACATGGATTTGGCTTTAGCTATAATAATATTTGAGTATTTTTCTCGAGTTCCTGTATATTAGAATGATTTTAAAACGTTAACCAAGTAATGTGCTCTTCTTTTTACCTAATCTTTCCCTATTTGCATTCGTTGAGAGGAAACTGAAAATTATTGCTAATGTAGTAATGTTATCTAGCCCAATTTAAACTGAATATTTAAAAAGTGTGTGGTACACCTCCTGTGTACAGTGTCTGCACATCAGTAGACTTGCTCACGGTTACAAGCAGATCACCAAACTGTATATTTTCTTGTGGAAATATCTTTAAAATAAATTATCTCTGGGATCAAAAGATTATCTTACTGTGGTTTTATAGTGAGCTGTATTTTAATGGGTGAAATTCAGGAGAAATAGTAGAGAACAGATCCATTGGCAGATACGATACAGAAAATTTGAAGTGTGTTGAGGTTTCTGGCTTGTTTACAAATATACAGTTAAGAATATATCACCTGTTTTAAATGTACTTAGGGTAACCTGACTGTACACTCCTAATTTTATGCTATCTCATATGATTGGATTAAGGGAAACTATTAATAATTTCAGAAAAAATTAATTTGCAATCATCCAGACATTTTGGATTTAGCATCATTTTGGAAAATTTGAAAGAAATTCTTTTTAATCTTTGGAAAGGTAAAACAAAAACTACACAGATTTTTAGTTCACTGCCTTTAATCTGGATGCCACCCCTTTGGAATTAGTACTTGCTCTGAAATCCTTTAACTCCAGGTAACAGGTTTGTAGCCACTTCCTTCGGAGCTACTCTTAACAAGGTGTTGAGAGCTCCTACTTTTTATCCAAGCTTTTATTTGTTTTACTTGGGAGGAACACAGGTAGAGCATCACGAAGCCACCTGTAATTTACTTTGTCATTACCCACGAGTGACAGATCCCGATTTGGATTAAAATCGTGCATTACGTTTGGGCGCACTGCATCCGTCTACTCCTTCCCTCAAGACACTTCGTTTCCTTGGGAGCAGGGACTGGGAACCTGCAAAGCCCCTCCCCACTTCGCTGGCGTTGCGCGTGAACGCTCTGCTACCTTTTGGCAGCTGAAAGAGAAGGAAATCGGGCACATCGGCCCTAGGGCGGCAGAGAGGAAGATATGTAGGGGTCTCTGGGGAAAGGCCACCTCTGCCTCACCCTGCGTGTGCTTCCCGCTGGACACCTCTGTCCGCTACTCTGCACCCTTGCTCTCCTCTTTCTGCTCACTTTCCCGTGGGTTTTATTTGTGCATGCGGGTGATTTAAAAACCTTTCTGGGTGTTGAGGCTTTCTTCTCGGCTGCTCCACTCCACGGTCTTTGCCCACTCGCCCTCAGTCCGGGCGGTCGCAGCGGAGCCAAGCTCTTCCTCCTCGCGGGGCGCTGGCTCTCCGTGAGGTTTAGGCCAGAGATGTTTAGTTGGGGTACCTCGACCCTTGTCCTCTCTGGCCACCTGCAGGCCGCCCCTCCTAGTTGTGGCTGCCGTGAAGCAGTCAGGGGCGCTGAGGCCCCGGGCTGCTCTGGGTCTAACGGAAAGGACGCGGGCCAAGCTGGGCGGCGGCACGGCCTCGCTGCAGCCAGGCGCGCAGGTGGCGCATCTTCCAGGCTCTGTGCCGCTTAATTGGGTTAAAGCGAAGCTAAACGCTGAAGCACTTTGTGCAAACTAATTGGTGCAGCCGGACCTTTTCACTAACGATTTACACTCTGAGAAAGAACGTAAGAAAAGGACTAAGAAACTCGTTAGTCCTAAGTAGAATGTTCCAGGGAAGTCACTGGGTTTCAGGGACGCCAGGATCGGGTTTTCTGAGCTGCTTCTTTAAATACCCATCACACGCTGCACTGTCAGTGATTTACATAATATAGTATTCCCTGGGCCGCAGTTATCACTTTGGTTGAACTGGGCGCCCTAGAATAACACCGGCGTGCAAGTAGTGCTTGTTGCTGCAACGCGGTGATTTTCTATTACACTGAATACCTGAAAAGGATTACCTTCCTTAGCTGAACCTTTCCAGTGATCTTAACACCCTTCATGGCTGAAGAGAATATTAAACTGTTCCAAAGTCTGTCTTCCATCCGTTCGTTTTTTAATTGAAGTGACCTACTATACTATATGTATGAAGAATTAAAATAATACTATATTTTGTGTAAGTCAACTGATTGTAATCTAAAATTCTGGATATCTACGTTTTGTTTTGTGAGAGTATTCTGTGTCACTAATTTAGAGATTTTTTAAACATTTGATTTATTGAAGTAGTTATTTCAGATGATGATGTAATATACAGATGGCTTAAATCCATTTTATATTTATATGAAAAGTTTATAGAAGAACCCTAATGATACCAATCTCATATAAATATAATTTTAGTAGTACTAGAATAAAAGCTCTTGTGTGTCCCATGCATTAAGTTATGAATGGTTAATTGTTTTCAGGGGTATTCATTGAGGCGTATTTGACATGAACTAATAATAGAATCATAATTGAACAAAACTGATCTAATTGAGGGGAGCAATACCCCAGGAATTTCATGATTTAATGATTGTGATGCTTGTATTTGAGTGATACTTGGGATTTTAAACTGACCTTTCTCTTCTATTTTTTTAGTTTAAAAAGCAACCTTGATTCACATTGTACACTTAGAAAAAATCTAATAAAGACAAAAGCATACCATTCTTGTAAACATTGGGTATTGAGTATATAAAGTAATTAAATATTGCCATGCTTAACACTTCATGGCATTCAAGTAATGACAAAAGAACTTTTATTGAAGTATTATTTCCTAAATAACTTTCCTCTTAGGCAGACTTGCCTACTTATGTGGGACTCACAAAGTAATGCATTAGCAGTCTCTTTGCTAGGTTTAGGGAAAACTTTGTTTAGCCTAAGAAATGTAAGAATGCAAGATTTTTGTGTTTTCTAAAAAACTAAATTAGAATCGCATGTTTACGAATCTTAGCAATTGTAACCTTTCAAAAGATATCTGTTAGAGAATATACATACATGTTCAGTGCTCATGTAGATATTGTTTCGGTTTTTTCCCTTATTTTCTGGCTGCTAGTTTATTCACAAGTATTCATGAATTTAAAGTTTTATTTTTTAATATGTACTTATTACTCTGGGGAGAGAAAAAGAATATGAAGTGGAGTTTATTTAATTATTTATCCCTACTGCTGGAGTGGCTTTGAAGGCTCATTATAAGCATCCAATTTCTTCTCCCAACCCCCAGCCCCTTAAATGTACCTAGGCTATTTCTACTGTTTCATTCTGCCACACACAATATATTTCTTTTTTTTACACTAGAGAAATTAAAGACAGATATTTTTGCTGGTTTTTTTATATGTCATATTAAATAAAGTAAAATAGCTGGAGTTTTTCTGGTAATCTAATTTGTTAGGATCTGTACCTTTCTTCCTGTGGTTACTCCTGATATAAGAATACTTGAAACAAGATAGCTTGAAAATTTTAAAAGTCAGTGATTTTTTAAAAACAGTTATTTCACATTTTAATATCAGGCTCATTACAGTCAACAGGAAGACTGAAGTCACCGTTTACAGTTTAGTCCCTTTTTCATTTCTTCAATCTGTGCATCCTAGGAATTGTGGTCAATTAAAAAATTTATTCATTTCAGTGATCAAAGACATTGCCTCATTTTAGCACCTTTATCACCTTAATACACAATCATAGTCACATTTTTAGTCGCAAGTACTTTTGTTTTTTACAGTGTTGCTTAGTAAATTTGTATTAGTGTCTAATAGATGTTGAAAAGAAAACTAACCTTGAGATTACTTACCACCTCTGCCTGATTTGCAGACTTGAAATAATTCTAGGTAACTGACTAAACCTTTCTTTTGGTAGAAAAATGTATAAAGCCTGACTTATTTACATAATAATCCCAGTTTCTTTACTTCATTTGCATATATACATAAAGTATATGTATACAAATGTATACATATATACATTTGCAAAATATCTTAAATCGCATATGTAAAATGAAAAACACTTGAATTAGATCATAATGAATTGTGATCTCTAACCTCTTCTAAAAGTTTATGAAGTGTGAGTTTAGATGTTCATTTCTGGGGAATAATGAAGGAAATACTGATGACTATTTTAATTCCTCAGAGTTTGTAAATTTAGTTACCTTTCTCATCGATAAAACTAAAATTCTTTTTATTAGATATCAAACTATATTTTCATTCAGATATTATAGAAAGTATCAGGATAAATAGGTTCATGTGGTTCTTTTCTATATTAAGATCTGGAAAATAGATATTCCTTAACCAATAATGTACATGGATTTACATGCATTTGTGTATGAGACTACAACATTAATGCTCATAGTACATTTTCATTGCACTTAGAGAAAACAGTGTTTATGTGATCAGTTTATTAATAGTACGTCTGTAGTGGGTCAGCCAGGATGGCATTGCTGTCATTACTGTATCATACTGTATGTGATTAAGCCACTGAAAACATTCAACACGACCTTGAGACTACAGTGTGGTATATAATCAACTTCTGGAGATTGCGTGTTTAAAATAACCTCTCCTATTCCTAATTTAAAGTTTTGAAGCTTATTTTTAATGACCAAAGCAATTCTTCTAAAGTGGTATGTATTGTAATGAGTAATAATTTAATGAAAACTAAATCAAATAAAGAAATGTTTACCTCTTGTCACCTATTTTATATGCAGCAATGTAAATGATTTATAGAAAAAAGGAAATTAGTTTATACTTAGGATTTTTTATATCTGTACAAATAAATACAGATATAAACATCTGAAAAGGGCAACCTATATTTCATTTTCACTATCACATGATTATTATTTTCAGTGTTACTAATATATTTTAGAATACCAATGTGTACTGTTTCTCAATAGCACAATGCTTCATGTAGAAATTTGTAAAAAATATGAAGTCAAATATACTATTGATGAATAGTACTTTTAAATCAACACATCATCTGTTTTATCTGAATAGCTAAATTGAATTAAGAATGAAAAGCATAATTTTTAAAATAGTGTTTATAACACAAAATAAGAACTCCGTGAAATTAAAAGTGTAGTTTTATTTTTATGTGAAATCTTTTTTAGATATATTTATGTGTAATTTTCATATAGTACTATTCCATTTTTTTAGATCTTCTACCTGAATGTTTCATTTTTTTAATTCCTCAACTAAATTAGCAAATTTGGGGGCATTTTTGTAATTTACGTACTTCAATAGTATCAAAGAAAGGAATTTCACAACCTCTCATTTTACTTTACATTTTCAGTAAATTCTTCCTTCTTTTCAATAGTGTTAGATGAGACTA